AAATGCTCCCTGGAATGTCTAGGCCAAATTGGCAATGTAATTTCCTGTCTTTAGCTTTTTCTGGTTCTGGTGATCTTGTTTTTCTGAGCTCCACCACCACCAAATCAGAATACAGGGTCAGAACGGACGCACTTTTATGGAGACAAAGTGACGAGTACTCAAGGTCAGAGCTGCCTGCAAAGATCCAGGTTGTATACACTTGTGGGTTTTTTAAAATTAATTAATTAATTTATTTGAAAGTCAGAGGTGACACACAGAGAGAGAAGCGACAGAGAGAGACAGAGGTCTTTCATCTGCTAGTTCACTGGCTGCAACGGCTGGAGCTGCGCCAATCTGAAGCCAGGAGCCAGGAGCATCTTCTGGTCTCCCACGCGGGTGCAGGGGCCCAAGCACTTGGGCCATCTTCTACTGCTATCCCAGGCCACAGCAGAGAGTGGAGCAGTCGGATCTCGAATCGGCACCCAATATGGGATGCCGGCACTGCAAGTGGCAGCCTTATCTGCTACACCACAGCGCCGGCCCCCACATAGGGGTTCTTATGGTAGGGCCAGTTTGGACACAGTTTGGTGTTATGCCTTGAGTTAAAACAAACAGGGGCCAGCACTATGGCATAATGGGCTGAGGTTCCACCTGCAGTGCCAGCATCCCATATAGGCACTGGTTCTGGTCTCTGCTGCTCCACTTCTGATCCAGCTCTCTGCTGTGGCCTGGGAAAGCAGTGGAAAATGGCTCAAGTGCTTGGGCCCCTGCACTCATGTGGGAGACCTGGAAGAAGCTCCTGGCTTCCCAGTTCCTGCTGTTGTGGCCGTTTGAGGAGTGGACCAACGGATGGAAGACCTTCCTCTGTGTTTGTAACTCTCCCCCTCAAATAAATAAATAAAATCTTTAAAATATACAAAGAAACAAACAGGGGCTGACATTGTGGTGTAGCAAATAAAGCTGTCACCTGTGACCCCAGCATCCCGTATGGGCGCCAGTTCGAGATCTGGCTGTTCCACTTCTGATCCAGCTACCTGCTAATGTACCTGGGAAAGCAGTGGAGGATGGGCCAAGTACTTGGGCCCCTGCACCCAAGTGGGAGACCCCAAAAAAGTTCCTGACTCCTAACTTTGGCCTGGCACAACCCTGGCCTTTGTGGCCATCTGGGGAGTGAACAAGCAAGTGGAAGATCTCTCCCTGTCTGTTCTTCTCTTTGTGTAACTTTGACTTTCAAATAAATAAATAAATCCTAAAAAAATTCCATCTGTAATTTAACTCAAAAAGGTTTGTTATGTGTGTGTGTTATTTTTCCTTTTAATTGACAAATAACAATTTCTTATATTTGTAGGGTATAATGTTATGTTTTGGTATATACTTATATTGTGGAATGATTAAAGCGATCTAACAGATCCATCACCTCACATAACTTCTCTTTTTTGTATATGGCGAGAATGTGTGTGATATTTGTCATGAACACCCTAGGAATGGTTAATGAACAATTGAAGTACCTTGATGGAGTATATAATAGGACAAGTTGATTATTTTCGGAAAGCTTTAAACAGATGCCCGTGTTTCGTAGAGCTTCAACTATCTTTATCTCTAATCAATTCCAAAACTATATGGATTGCCCCTTTGGCAAAATAAGAAGTATCCCATGATAGATGGATCGGCTAGAACTGTTGTACCGAGGTCCTCTGATCTCTCACGAATAATATACAGAAATCCAGAGAACCCAGCCTGCACCATGGTGCTTCCAAAAGAGACGTGTGCAGAAAACTGAGAGTTGCCATTGCCCTATTTCAACCAGAAGGTTTGCCGAATCCCGCCCTTAAAATACCATTGTTTCATGTGTATGGAGTGACTTTTCCCGCAAGGTGTGGCGAGAGTTCCTAAAAGGACAGGAGCTGGTACTCCTGCATCAGGGTTGCAGGGGAGTGCGTGTCACTGGGAGTGCAGTTGTGCAGGAACTGGCTGTAACGTAAGGTGAACAGGGTGTGGGATTCAGGCAGGAGTGGGAGGCACAGGAACAGAGCGGAGAAACTGAAGCAGTTTGCAAAGTTGAGCTTGGCTTTCAGAGGATGTTCTGGGAATGCAACTCTGCAACACTGACTTTATTTGAAGAGGGCCAGACCACCAGGCACCCAGTTGGAGGCAAAGGGCCCTCTCGCTCCTCCTTTTCTACATCCTGAACATCCTTTGACCCTTGCTATAAAAGCCTGGCAAACTGCTTCTCAGGCAGTTTTTTTTCTTTTTAAAGATTTATTTTATTTATTTGAAAGGCGAGTTACAGAGAGAGAGGGAAGGACAGAGAGATCTTCCACCCACTGGTTCACTCCTCAAATGGCCACAATGGCCAGGTTGAAGCAAGGAGCCAGGAGCTCCATCCCACGTGGGTGCAGGGGCCCAAGCACTGGGGCCATCTTCTGCTGCTTTCCCAGGCGCATTGACAGGAAGCTGGATCAGAAGTGGAGCAGCTGGGGCTCGAACCAGCTCCCATGTGGGATGCTGGTGTCCCAGGTGGTGGCTTTACCTGCTGCGTGTGCCACAACACCAGCCCCAGCGAAGCAGTTTGCAAAGTGAATTTTACCTTTCTGCTGTCTCCTTTGCTTGTCACCAGTAAACAAAACTTTGAACAACTTTCACCTGAGGCTGATTATTCAGTGACACCCCCCCCCAACAAGGGCACGGACCCCTTTGTGTACATTAACAGTAGCATTGTCATGTAAGCTAGGGAGGCTGTGAGGTACAAACACTTGCATCTTTCCTTAATACTGTTGTGGGAGTGGAGAGTAGAAAGGCAAGGGCCAGGCACAGGTTCTTCTGAGCCTCAGCAGTGAGCTCATGAAGCTTGTAGAGATAATAACAGCAGAGGGTTTCTTATAGGAAAGGAAAGTACACTTTTTAAGAAAGAAAGAGGCCAAGAATCAAAGCTGCGGTTGAGGCAGGGACTTGAGGCCCTGAAGATAATTGGGGGCTGTGATTTTATAGTATTTTTTTAAAAAAAAGATTTATGTATTTGAAATGCAGAATTAGGGAGAGAAAGAGAGAGGTCTTCCATCTTTTGGTTCACTCCCCAAATGGTTGCAAAGGCTAGGGCTAGGCCCGGAAAAACCAGGAGCCTGGAACTCCATTCGAATCTCCCACGCAGGTGGCAGGGGCCCAAGCACTTGGGCCATCTTCCATTGCCTTCCAAGGTGCATTAGCAGGGAGCTGGATTGGAAATGGAGCAGCCAGGACTCAAACTGGCATTAGTTGGCCGGCGCCGCGGCTCACTAGGCTAATCCTCCGCCTTGCGGTGCCGGCACACCGGGTTCTAGTCCCGGTCGGGGCGCCGGATTCTGGCCCGGTTGCCCCTCTTCCAGGCCAGCTCTCTGCTATGGCCAGGGAGTGCAGTGGAGGATGGCCCAAGTGCTTGGGCCCTGCACCCCATGGGAGACCAGGAGAAGTACCTGGCTCCTGCCATTGGATCAGCGCAGTGTGCCGGCCGCAGCGCGCCGGCCGAGGCGGCCATTGGAGGGTGAACCAACGGCAAAGGAAGACCTTTCTGTCTCTCTCTCTCACTATCCACTCTGCCTGTCAAAAACAAAACAAAACAAAACAAAAAACCAAAACTGGCATTAGTATGGGATGCCAGTGTCACAGGCGGAGGCTGAGCCTGCTGTGCCACTATGCCAGCCATAGATGTTGGCTTGGGTATGGGGGTCCCTTAGTGTGGTTTTGAGGTCGCAGGTGTGTATCTCATGGAGCTATTATAAGATCTATATATAGCTTCTATGTGAAAGTTTTTTAAGTTTACAATTTCTTATTCTCAGCTTCTCCAGTTAACCCTTTCTTTGTCTCCAGTCTCCAGGTTGTGGCTAAGAGGCAGAGACACAGAATATGGAGAAAGTTTTGGAACTCGCCTTTCTCTGCTTTCCCAGTGAATCCTCAGCTGTCTCCTGCCTCACTTGGTTAAACATGATGTCTACAAAGAGTGAAGGGGCATTTTTTTCCCTTAAATTTATTTGAAAGAGGGACAGCCAGAGCAAGAATCATTGAGAGGGAGAGAAAGAAAAAAAGAGATTTCCCATCTACCAGTTCACTCCCCAAAGCAGCCCAACAGTCAGGTCTGAGCCAGGCCAAAGCCAGGAGCCAGGAACTCCATTTGAGGTATCCCGTGTGGGTTGCAGGGGCCCAATTACACACCACTTTCCCAGGTGTGTTAGCAGGGAGGGAATCAGAAGCGCCGGAGCCAGGATTTGAACTGGCATTCGGATTCGGGCCGCTGGCATGGCAAGGGGTGTCACAGTGCCGGCCCCCATGCAGAGCATTTGAACGGCGGCACATCAGCAGCTCAAGCCTCAAGCTTGACGCTAATCATCTTGTTAAACCTGGGCGTGCTTACTGCCGAAACAGTTGGGACCGGAGGAGAACTGGCTACTTCCGTCCAGTTAGGGGAACACTCTTGTTTGATCAAATTCGGGTGAGGCTGACTGTGGGCCTTTGCACGCCTTGTCTCATCAGTGGGTGCACATGTCCACACAGGCCGATGAACGGGCGCTCTTAACCCTGTTTTGCACGCACGGGAAGTGGAGTGCACCGGTCAACGCCAGTAGGTGTTCGGACGTGCACTCAAGTTAACCGTGTCCCGCTTAGCACCTACGTCTCCACATCCTCTAACTGGGCGAGCTGGGGCACGTCCTGTTTACAGGGGTGACCCTGGAACACACGGCCAGGACATCCAACACTTGACACCACCAGCTCACACCTCCCAGCTCCCTTTGAGATGGACTCGGCCCGCATGACTCAAAAGGACGAGTCCCTTTTGCAAAGCAGCCAATGAGATGGTAGGATCTTGTGTGTGGCACTTTCTTCAGCCTATGGGCTCAGGCCCTGCCCACACCACGTGACCGGAACTTAGTATTTGGGGCCTGTGGCTCTTTCCGCGTGGCAGGTAGTTGAGCTTCCCGGTTCTCGTGAGGCTCCGTGGGGCCAGCTGAAGCGACAGGACTCAGCTCAGGTGCGGAAGCCCTGGAGGGCCGAGGTCGCGCGTGGGCAGCCTCACTGAGCGCATGGCGAGGCGCCTTCCCGCCCCAGGAGGCTGGAAGGGCCGCCATTCCTCGGCGGGGTGGGGGCGGGAAGTCGTTAACTCGAGGCTGCGGGTGCGTGGGCGGCCCGCGAGGCGCGGGGACCGGGCGGGGCTGTGGCCTGAGGATCTAGGGCGTCACCCCAGCACGGTTGTTGGTTTGGGGGAAAACGGGAAGAAAGGAGTTTGCCTCCCGGCGCTGGGCTTGGGGTCCGCGTGGCCCACAGGAAGGCTGAGAAGGTAGGCCCCGCGTGGCCCCTAAGGAAGCAGAGGAGGAAGTCCACGTTAAAGGAGGGCCTGGGAAGGGGGTGCTTGTGAAAGGCCGCACGCGGTGGTGGGGCTCGGGGACGCGTGGGGTAGGAGACTAAGCCGTGGCAGCGAGGGCGCCACCCACACAGGTTGTAGAACGAAGATTCCAGGCCAACCGAACAGGGGTGTTAGCGGCTAGAGGGGCGGCTTCTGTAGTAACCCCGGGAGGGAGGCGTGTCCTGCCTCCCAGTTGCAAGTAGAGCATTAAAGAAGGGAGTGTAGTTAATTTTTTTTGCAAGTTCCTGAATTACCTCCACCTGCCCTGTTGACTCAGGATTCGTGTGTCAGTCTTTGTATGCACGGGCCGATTTCTCCACAGCTAAGACTTAAGACAGGGTTTCCAGAGTCGGGAGAGGCTTGCTTTCCGCTTGAAGATTTCTTCAGCAATGAGGTCCAGGACAGGATTATGAGAGGTTCCCCCCGACGAGAGAGTCCCAGCATCTGTAGGCCACGAAGTGATTCGGGGGGAGGGGGCTGGGGGCCTCAGCTCTAGGGGGAGGGCCAGGGGAAGGCTCCAAGCCTAGTTACTTGGAGGAGAGAAAGGGTCGCTGTAAGCTATGTGAGAGTCGGCTCCGTATCCTGGGGACCTCAGTTCTGGTGGGGTTTGAAAGAAGAGTTTCATAGAAATGAATTGGAGAATAATTGAGAGAAGGAGCTAGGATCAAGGAGATGAGTTCAATGTGAATACAGGCTGGAGAGAAGCTGGGACCCCGGCGTAGGAAAGAGGCCGAAAACAAGGCGGAACCCATAAAGGTTGGTTGGTGGTGCTTAGGAACTATTAACTGATCAGCCCAAATCATTCCCATGCATACAAGCTGCTTTCCTGTGCAATGGGTAGTTGACTTAGAGCACTGAGTTTTCTGAGGACTGCTCAAGTTCATCGAGGGCTTGGGCCTAGAAGGGGTTTCAAATACTGTGCGCTCACAGAAAAGCTTAGTGCCCGCCTTGGAAGTCTAACTTGAAAATGCGTTGTTTCTCAAAGAGGAAAGAAACCAGCTGGGAATCTCTAACCTTTTCCGAATGCTGACAGGTAATTAACCAGAGAAGGCTCAACACAGCGTCCTCCTCCGCAGCGTTTGAATGGATCCCGTCCGGCCACCATTCAGGGGCCCTGCCCCGGTCCACCTGTCTCAGTGTGTCCGGATGCCAGGCTGTTGGCCACAAGCTCCAAAACCCCTGGAGCCCGCCCTGGGCAGGGCAGGACCTGTGGGCCGAGGCCACATGTTTGCAAAGCCGGAGGAAGCGGGCACACAGAGTGGACCGGCGCCGAGGGTAAGACCGCTCGAACGTGCAGTCGTAGTGTTTGTCTTTCCTGTGTGATGAGAGGAAGCAGTGGCTTTCAGGGCGCCTAGAGAGCCGCGAAGACTTACTCAAGGACAAGGGAGTTTGTTTTTCTTCACGAAGTTTTTGCACCTTCTAGGCATCGAGGTCAACGCTTAGAATTGCAAGTCTAGAGAAAGTGGCTGAGTGAATGCCGGGTGGGCTTGGGTAAGTGCCTTAGTCCTCCAGCCTCCGCCCTCCCCCACCTTCCTTCACGGCGGTTTTCAGGATAGAGCCTCTTGTTCTCCCCTTAGTTTTCATCCTGAGTCTGACTCCTGCCTCAGAGAGCATTACAGGAGGAATATTCCGTATTTGCATCTTGGATTGCAGTTTGATTTTTGTTTTTGATTTTGGAATACTTTCATGTACACAGTGTATCTTTTGGATATGGGACCCATGTCTAAGCACTAAATTCATTTATGTGTCATTTATACCTTATAGCCTGAGGGTCACTTTACATACTATTTTTAATATACCTGTTTTTTTAAAAAAATATTTAATTATTTATTTGAAAGGGAGAGTTATAGAGAGCGACAGAGATATATTCCATCTGCTTGTTCACTCCTCAGGTGGCCGCAACAGCCAGTGCCGGGCCAGGGCAAAGCCAGGAAGTGCATCTGGGTCTCTCACGTTAGTGGCAGCAGCCCAAACATTTGGGCCGCCTTCTGCTTTTCCTAGGCCATTAGCAGGGAGCTGGATCGGAAGTGGCGCAGCCAGGGTGTGAACTGGTGTCCATATGGCATGCCAGCATCGCAGGCAGTGGCTTCACCTGCTGTACCACAATGCTGGCCCCTACACCTGTGTTTTGACTGTAGCCTGTCACATGAATTCAGGTGTGAAATTTTCCAGTTGTGGCATGAAAAAGTTGAGCATTTTGTATTTTAGATTTTCAGATTAGGGATGCTCAACCTGTGAGTGTTAGATTTGTTTCTTTTGAAAGAGTATCCAGATCTTAGATCTTCAGCTGTTCCTACTGCCTTGTGAACATGTACATGTGTGTGCATTCTGATTTCCTAACTAGATGGTAGTTTTAGGAAAAGAAGAGTTAGAAGGAAGGAATTGGTTCTAGTGTCATGTTGTACAGTAAGGTAGTCAACAACAATTTATGATATATTTTAAAATAGCTAGAAGAGTAACAGTTCCCAACACAAAAAGATGAGAAATACTTGAGGAAATGAAAACGCTAATTATCCTGATTTGATCTTTATACATTGTGTACGTGTATGGAATTAACTATTGTATGTATCCCATAAATACATAGCAGTAGAGGGTAAATAGAAAATTTTAAAATGGACAGTATTTGTCTATAATTAATTTATGTCAAAGAAAAAGTTAGCAAATATAGGAAGAACTTGATGAAGCAGTTAGGTTAATTTTAAGTGGAATTTACAGTGTCAAATGTAATACTTCCTAAGAAGAAAAAATTAGGACAGTAATTATGGATGTTAAAAAAAACCCAAACCCCTCATACCCTTAAATCATGTAGATTTTTTTTTTTTTTTGACAGGCATAGTTAGAGAGAGACAGAGAGAAAGGTCTTCCTTTTTCCGTTGGTTCACCCCCCAAGTAGCTGCTACGGCCAGTGCGCTGCGCCCGAGCCAGGTGCTTCTCCTGGTCTCCCATGCAGGTGCAGGGCCCAAGGACCTGGGCCATCCTCCACTGCACTCCTGGGCCACAGCAGAGAGCTGGCCTGGAAGAGGGGCAACGGGACAGAATCCGGCGCCCCGACCGGGACTAGAACCCGGGGTGCTGGTGCCGCAGGTGGAGGATTAGCCTAGTGAGCCGTGGCACCGGCCTCATCTAGATGTTTTGGGCATTTATTAACCAGTATGCATGTTCTCTTTACTTGGGTATACAGGAAATAAACCAGAAGAATAGACAAGTTCGTTTTGTTCTGTTGTATTTTGTTTCATTATAGCTCAAGTCATGGACTTTAAAAAAAATATGTATTTGAAAGGCAGAGTGACAAAGAGAGGGAGAGACATACAGAGATCTGCTCTCCAAATGGCCAAACCCAGGAGCTTAGGACTCCATGTGGGTCTCCTGTGTGAGTAGCAGGGGGCTGAGTCTGGGCCAGCGTGACCTGCGCTCCCAGAGGCTTTATCAGGGAGCTGGTTGGAGGTGAGCAGAGCAGCCAGGACTTGAACAGGTGCTCTCAGTGGGCTTGATCCACTGTGCCACATCCCGGCCCTGAATCATGGACTTGAAAATGTAACTGGTCATGGTTGAAAACCTAGGATATGATTATAAGTGTTCAAGAAAAAAATAGTATTTTTTTCTTTTTATAACATTTATCAAATGTAAAGATTATGACTTACCAAAACCGTCTTAAAGGTATTATTTCTGTTTTTGAGGCTTGTTTGTTTTAATGAGGGTGGGGGAGAGAGAGAGAGATCTGCATCTGTTGGTTTACTTGCCCAAGTGACCAGGGCTGAGCTGGGCTGGGTGGGGTGGCAGCTGGGAGCCAGAATTCAGTCCAGTTCTCCCTTTGAGTCGTGAGGACCCAGTCACTTGAGCCATCACCGCTACCTATCAGGGTGTGCATGGGCAGGAAGCTGGAGTCGGGAGCTGGAGCCAAGTATTGAGCCTAGGTACTCCGATGTGGGCATTGTGACTGCCAGGCTGCATTTGTGCCTCATGGGATTTTAAACAACATCCTGGAAGAACTTCACTTTTTGGCTTTCCACAGGAGTCTGTGGGTTTAGTCTCCATGTTCCGCGGCCTGGGCCTTGACACCGCGTCCCGGACGTCTCCGAGACGGGAGCTGCCTCCTTCAGGTATGCGGGAGCTGGCTTGAGAAACTCTGCTGGTGTGTGTGTTGACTTTGTTCCTAAACCCATGCAGTGCATCTTCAGAAAAATTGCTGTGCTGTAAAGTGTGTTCAAGTCGCAGTTACACCTGGGGTTTGGTTCTTGCAGGAAGAGGCATTTTAGGTAGAGGCTTGTCTGCTAACTTGTTACGCAAGGAGAAAGAGGAACCCCGTCTGACCTTTCCGGATCCTTCAGTGTTGGCAGCTGGGGATAGCAAGATGGCAGAAGCTTCTGTTGGTTGGAATAGGTAGGTAAGGTTACCTTCGCATGCAATCATCACGTTCAGGTGGCATATCTAAGTCCAAAGAGAAAGCCCCAGGATTGTACTATCTCACGAGAGGTGATGTGTGGCTGTATATTAAAAAGTGACTGTTTTCCAAGAGCAGCCAGCAGTTGCGGATGCAGTCATTGGAGAGAGGGTCAAAGCAGCTCCCTAGGGGGCGTTTGCCCTCGTGACAAGTGAAGCTGATCACTGTGGTTCTTCCGTCTCACTGTGTCGCACTTCCCCTCGTGCTGTGGAAGGTGGCTCTGACGGTCGGTGTTCAGAGCAGCTGGTGACAGAGCCATGTTGGCGGGTTAGATTTCGAGGGGCTCCCAAGGCTGTGCTTGGCCCCTTTTGCTGTCTGCTGCAGATGAGAAGGTAGTGTGGAGAGTAACCCAGGTGGGGCATGGATGCATGATGGAGAAAGCCCTCGCCTGCCCCTCTGCTGCCTTTCAGAATGCTTGGAAGAGGGAGTTCGGACACGTCTTCATTACCCCTGGGAAGAGCGGCTGGTGGAATGGGCAGAGCAGTGGAAAAGCCTCCCCGTGTGTTCGGCCCAGCCTCCCGGAATCCCCCAAGGCTGTCCCCACCTTCACCCCTGCCCCAGTCTTCACTGCACTTTCCGGAACGCCCCCTGGGCCTGACTGCAGAACCCAAGGAAAAGTAAGTCCTGGGCACCCCTTTCCTGCCAGGAGCCTGAGGAGGGGGCCGCCTGTGGAATCCCCGCGTGGGGCTGCTGTGTGCTGTCTGTTGTGGGGGACGTCCTGGGGCGATGGGTGCTGCCAGTGGGGAGAGGGGCGGGTGGGGTGGCGGCTGCTGGAGCGAGGCGGGCTTCCTTGTGAGTATGCAGACTGTACCAGCGAGCGGACTGTGAAACCTGGTGGGCCTGTCCTGCCCAGGTCAGATCTTTGCCAAGTCAAAGATAAAGCAGTCAGTTATGAAAAACACTTGAATCCCTCACCTTCCTCTGTGCAGCTAATTCCTGGGTTCCTAGCTGGCCTAGCTACTGCAGTGCTGTTACTAGGCAGACAAAGTAGACACTGCTTGGAGCTTATCATCTGGCCTTCAGAGCGTGCTGTTATGTCTTGGTTCTTCATTTGTGTGTCTAAATAAAGTATGAGAAAACCTGTGGTGGTGGTGTGGGTTGGTGGATGTTTCATTTTTTGGCTTGGGTATAGGTGGTTACTTTTAAAAACTTTTTTATTTTTCAGAGAGATTTTTGTGAAGCAGGGATCAAAGGGAACTCCTCAGTCTTTGGGATTGAACCTCATCAAAATACAGTGTCATAACGAAGCAGTCTATCAGTATCATGTGACTTTCAGGTATGTATGGCAGTTTTCTTCGTATTATTTGTTTCTTGGATGGCAGTAATGGAAAAACTGGATATGGTTCTGTGTGATTCCCGATGAGCTTCCCCACGCAGTAGTGCATGCACTCAGATCCTGGCAGGAGGTTGAAGGTTGACGTTCTTGTGTATATATGTTGCCAATTCAATTTAACTTTTAAGGTTATTAATTTTTTATTTGTCTGGAAAGCAGAGAGAGAGAGAGAGAGACAAATGTGATCTCCCACATGTTTGGCAGGGACCCAAGTACTTGGGTATCCGCCTGCTGCCTCCCAGCTGCACACTGGTAGGAGTCTGCAGTTGAAAGCGGAGCCAGGACTCGATCCCAGGCGTCTGATATCTGATGCGGACGTCGCAAGCAACATCTCAACTGCTGCACCGAATGTTTTAATTTGACAGGTGCAGGTTTATGAGGCTAGCAGTGGATTTATTTATTTATTTATTTGACAGGCAGAGTTAGACAGTGAGAGAGAGACAGAGGGAAAGGTCTTCCTTCCGTTGGTTCACTCCCCTAATGGCTGCCACGGCCAGTGCTGCTCCAATCCGAAGCCAGGAGCCAGGTGCTTCTGGTCTCCCATGGGGTGCAGGGCCCAAGGACTTGAGCCATCCTCCACTGCCTTCCCAGGCCACAGCAGAGAGCTGGACTGGAAGAGGAGCAACCAGAACTAGAACCGGCGCCGATATAGGATGCTGGCGCTGCAGATGGAGGATTAACCAAGTGAGCCACGGCGCCGGCCCCAGCAGTGGATTTAATATGAAATTAGTTAAGGCTAAGTTTAGGGCCTTTCACTTGCAGGACATTTTTGAGACAGAGAGCTCTCAACCACTATTCATTACCAAAATGTTTCCAAAGGCTGGGTCCAGTTGGTCTGGTCTGGGCCCAAGCCAGATGCCAGGATTGCTAAAAAGTCTCTTGTGTTGGGGTGTCAGGAGCTCATCACTTGAGCTGTCACCGGCTGCCCCCCAGGGTCTGCATTAGCAGGATGCTGGAGCCAGGAGCCAGAGCTGGGTATCAAACCAAGGCACTCCAACATGGGACATGGGCATCATATGGCTAGGCTTACATGCCCGCCCCTGACTTGTTTTGTATGGGATTTGGTGTTCCTTTCATAAGGGGCTCCCCAGGTGGTCTAAGGTCCACATTCCATGGGGCTGGTGCTGTGGTACTGCAGATTAAGCAGCTACCTGCAATGCTGGTTGAGTCCCGGCTGCTCCACTTCTGATCCAGCTCCCTGCTAATGCTCCTGGGAAAGCAGCAGAAGATGGCTGTTTTTGCTTTCCAAATAAATAAATCTTTAAGAACATTTATTGAGAAAAGAAGAAAAGTCTGGATTTTTTGAAAAATGTATATATTTATGGGGTACAATGTGATGTCTTGAATATGTATATGTTGCAGTAAGATTAAGCTAAGCTAATTAGTGTATTTGTCACCTTACCTGCTTAGATTTTTTGGTGAGAATATTTAAAGTCTGTCTTAGTAAATTTTATTTTGATCTTATTTCAAAGATTGATTTATTTACTTAAAAAAGAGGGAAAGACAGAGACAGTGAGGTCTCCCTCTGCTGGTTCACTCACCAAGTGGCTATAATGGCCAGGGCGGAGCCAAGCCGAAGCCAGGAGCTTCATCGGGGTCTCTCACGCGGGTGCAGGGCCCAAGGACTTGGGCCATCTTCTACTGCTTTCCCAGGCCACAGCAGAGAGCTGGATTGGAAGAGGAGCAGCTGGGACCTGAACCGGCGCCCACATGTGATGCTGGCACTGCAGGCAGAGCCCTGACCTGCTAGGCCATAGTGCTGGTCCCCTAAACTTACCTTTTTGTATTTGTTTTTTAAAAGATTTATTCATTTTATTTGAAAGAGTTACAGAGAGGCTGAGACAGAGCAAGAGAGAGCGCGAGAGAGAGGTAGAGACAGAGAGAGGTCTTCCATCCACTGGTTTACTCCCCAGATGGTCAAAACAGCTGGAGCTGCACTGATCAGGAGACAGGAGCTTCTTCCACGGGTACAGGGGCCCAAGGACTTGGACCATCTTCTGCTGCTATTCCAGGCCAAAGCAGAGAGCTGGATCTGAAGTGGAACAGCTGGCACTTGAGCCAGTGCCCATATGGGATGCCAGCACTGCAGGCAGTGGCTTTACCCACTACGTCACAGTATCGGGCCCTAATCTTAGCTTTTAATTCCATTTTTCCACAGATATTTGAAGTCCCTTTCTATCGCCAGTGGTAGGATTACTAGGTAATGTGGTAGTTGTTGGAGTAGAGAGAAAGAAAAAGATCTTCCCTTCTGCTGATTTACTCCCCAAATGACTGCAACAGCCAGTTCTGGGCAGGGCTGAAACCAGTAACTCCATCTGGGTCTTCCATGTGGGTGGCAGGGTTTCAGGTAGCTGGGCCATTGTCCGCTGCCTTCTCAGGTGCATAGCAGGAGGCTGGATTGGAAGTGCAGCTTTGGTGTTCAGCTGGCACCGCAGGCTTCAGAAGTGACAGTTTAACCTGCTGCACCACCTTAAGTTTGTTCAGAATTTTCCATACTGTTTTTCAAAACATCTGTGCTAGAAAGTTTGAATTTTTAAAGTGTAGTTATTTGGGGTGGCTGGCGTTGTGGTGCAGTGGGTTAAAGCCCTGGCCGGAAGCGTGGGCGTCCCATATGGGTGCTGGTTCTAGTCCTGGCTGCTCCTCTTCCAATCCAGCTCTCTGCTATGGCCTTGGAAAGCAGAAGAAGATGGCCCACATCCTTGGGCCCCTGCACCCATGTGGGGGACCTATGGGAAACTCCAGGCTCCAGCCTTTGCAGCCATCGGAGGAGTGAACCAGCAGATGCAAGACTTCTGTCTCTCCGCCTGTGGTTCTCTGTCACTTTGCCTTTCAAATAAATAAACAAACCTTAAAAAAAAAGTTTGTAAAGAGACTATGGTACAGTGGGTTAAGGCACCGTCTGCAGCACTGGCATCCCATATGGGCACTGGTTCAAGTCCTAGCTGCTTCACTTCTGATCCAGCTCCCTGCTGATGTGCCTAGGAAAGCAGTGAAAGGTGGCTCAAGTGCTTGGGCCCTGCACCCATGTGGGAGACCCAAAAGAAGCTCCTGGCTCTGGACCAGCCTAGCTCTGGCCATTGTGGCTATTTGGAGAATGAACCACTAGATGTAAGATCTCTCTCTCTCTCTAATTCTGACTTCCAAGTAAAGCAATAAAGAAATAAAGAAAAGCTTTAGACAAATCAGAGTTTACTTGCTATACAAAAAAAAAGGGGGGGGAAGGGGAGCTGGTGCTGTGGCTTAGTGGGGAGTTAAGCCAGAGCCTGTGACACCAGTATCCCATTGCATGTAGGTTCGTGTCCCAGCTGCTCCACTTCTGATCCAGCTCCCTGCTAATGAGCCTGGGAAAGCAACAGTAGATGGCCTAAGTACTTGGGTCCCCAGATGAGGCTCCTGGCTCCTGGTTCTGGCCTGGCCCAGCCCTGGCTGTTATGGCCATTTGGGAAGTGAAACAGCGGATGGAGGATTTTCTCTGTCTTGCCCTCTCTCTAACTCTGCCTGTCAAATAAATAAATAAATCTTTAAAAGCTTGTAAAGAGGAATGAAATACCAGGATGATAATTAAAGAGGTTAGCAAGATTGCTTTACTGGGGAAGAAAGAGAGCTGAACATGTATGGTAGGTGAAGGGAAGGGGCTAAAAAGGAGGGCAGAATTGAGCCCTAGTAAAGCACAGGCCGTTGTGGAATGTCAAGGGAAGAGGTGAGCTTAATTACAGAGCGGGGAGAATCCTTTCTGCAAGGGTATTGGCAGATGTTTATGACGCAGGAAGCAGTAAGAACCTCACGAATCTATGCACTGAATGGCGTGCAGAAGACGTGGATTTCTAAGTATTCGGACTGCGGACCTGGACCTTTGAAACCATAAAGTGGAGGTGGTCCTGGTCGTTGAATTCGGTGAACTGGTCATCCTGAAGTATGTGAAGGCAGAGTAGGGAGACACGCTGAAGTGTTAGGTTGGGAGCACAGCTCTGTGTGCGTGTGACTTTTTCTTTCTTTAAGGAATGTATTCTTCGGGGCTGGTATTGTGGCCTAGTGGGTAAAGCTGCCGTCTGTGCTGCCAGCGACTCTTCAGGGCAGCAGTTGGTGTCCTGGCCACTCCGTTTCTGATCCAGCTCCCTGCTAATGGCCTGGGAAAGCAGCAGAAGATGGAAGAGGGTGCCACATGGGACACCTGGAAGGAGCTCCTGCCTCTGGCCTGGCCCAGCCCTGGTCCCTGTGCCACTTGGAGAGTGAACCAGTGGACGGAAGAGCTCTGTGTCTCTGCTCAACTTTCAAATAAATAAATAAATCTTGAAGAAAGAAATGTGTTGTTAGTATGCAGTGCTTAGTTTTGGGGATAACTATTAGATTGTCACTTGATTTTCTTTTCTTCATGTACTTTAACATGTTTGACCCTTTGTAGCCTAGAATTTGTTTAAACTTTCCTATGACCTGTTGGAACAATCATTGTATAAAGGAGCTGCTGGAATTTTTCAAAGCTGTAAGATTTATGACAGTGAGTGGATAAAAAGCTGAAATTGCCAGTAGTCAAAAATAGTCACATACTTCAGGATGACCAGTTCACCGAATTCAGCGACCAGGACCACCTCCACTTTATGGTTTCAAAGGTCCAGGTCCACAGTCCGAATACTTAGAAATCCATGTCTTCTGCACGCCATTCAACACATGCAAAAACACTCTTTCTAAAACCTGTGTGCCTCTGAAGACTCTAGAGCAAGGATTAGCAAACTGTGATTGGTTCAAAGGTCAGACCCGGCCCACTGACTGTGTAGTAGTAAAGTTTTATTGGCACATAGCCACACACATATTGTCTATGGCTGCTGTCGTGCAGTGACAGCAGAGCTGAACGTCCTGTGTAGCTTAAGGTATTTACTGTCTGGCCCTCTGTGTAAAACACTTTCAGATCCCTGGTCTAGAGTCTGGAAAAACACACCTCGACAGTCTAAGGCAGTTTTTCAGGAATGGAATTGTGAGTTTTTTCTATTCTAATGTTTCTGCCAAGGCTTTTAGTCAGAAATACAATTTTTAAATATGACCACTAGATGGGGCAGCAGTTACAAATGACTGCTTCCCTAACGTACCTGTTGGGTAGCTGTGGTAAGGATTGTTGCTTGAGTCAAATTGAGGTAAGCATCATCTTTATTTTTCCCTAGCCCCAATGTGGAGTGCAAAAGCATGAGGTTTGGCATGCTAAAGGACCACCAGGCTGTCACCGGGAACGTCACTGCTTTTGATGGATCCATTCTCTATTTGCCCGTTAAGCTTCAGCAGGTGAGACCACACAGGAAGTACACTGGGGATGGCACCGGAGACACTGCTGTCTGGAGTGCTGGGGATGATAGACTCGAGCTTCCCTAGCTACAGAGGGCAGGCAGAGGTCAGCAGAGCGTCACAGGACTGTTTGAATTCTTTAAGAAGTTCCTTCTCACTTAAGAGCAGTGGCTGGAAGCCTTTGACCTCAGCGATAAAGAATTCAAATTCAAACTATATTGGGTTCTCTTACCAAATCAGTTTTATTTATGTATTTTAAACATTTTTATTTAAGGTATATACATTTTATGTATACAGATTTAGGAACATAGTGATACTTATCCTACCCTCCCTCCTGCCCAAGCTCCCACACTTCCTTCTCTTTCCTTTGCTAATTTTGCTCATAATTTTTACAATAGTCTACTTTTCAGTTTATTTTATACTCATAAGATTAACCCTACACTAAATAAAAGAGTTCAACAAATAGAAGAAGAAGAAAAATACTGTTCAGGGCTGTAAACAGTCAACCTCAAAATGTCAATTCCACTCCTATCCATTACATTTTTGGTACTCTGTTAGTTACCACAGATCAGGGAAAACATACAGTATTTGTCTTTTTGGGACTGGCTTATTTCACAAAGTATGATGGTTTCCAGTTTCATCTATTTTGTTGCAGAAGACAGGATTTCATTCTTTTTTACGCCTGCGTAATGTACCATAGTGTATAGACCATAATTTCTTCACCCAGTCATCAGCTGGTGGACACCTGGGTTGATTCTGTTTCTTAGGTATTGTGACTCGAGCTGCAGTAAACATGGGGATACAGATAACTCTTTCATATGCTGATTTCATTTAGTTTGCATAAATTCTCAGGAGTGGGTTTGCTGGGTAATATTACAAATCTCTTTTCAGATTTCCAAGGTGTCTCCATACTGTCTTCCAATATGTAAACTGGATGAACCAATTTACATTCCCATCAACAGTGGATTAGGGGACCTTTTTCCCCACATCCTTGCCAGCATTTATTGTTGATTGATTGATTTTTGTATGAGGGCCATTCTGACTGGGCTGAGGTGAAACCTGTGTGGTTTCTATTTCTGGTTCCCTGATGGCTAATGATCCTGAGCATTTTTTCATGTGTCTGTTGGCCATTTGAATTTCCTATTTAGGAAAATGCCTGTCCAAGTCCTTTGCCTATTTCTTAACTGGATTGTTTGTTTCGTTGTTGAGATTCTTGAGCTCTTTATAGATTCTGGATATCAGTCCTTTATCAGTTGCATAGTCTACAGATAATTTCTCCATTCCAGTGGTTGCCTCTTCACTTTGCTGAGTGTGTCTTTTGCAGTGCAGAAGCTTCTCAGCTTGATGTAATCCCATTTGTCAATTTTGGCTTTGATTGCCTGTGCCTCTGGGGTCTTTCCCAAGAAGTCTTTGCCTGTGCCAATGTCTTGCAGAGTATTCCCAATGTTCTCCTCTAGTAATTTGATGGCTTCAGGTTGTAGATTTTGATCCTTGATCTATTTTGAGTTGATTTTTGTATAAAATAGGAGTCTTGTTTCACACTTCTGCACGCAGAGATCCAGTTCCAAGCACTATTTGTTGAGGAGATGTTCCTTTCTCCAGGGATTGATTTTAGCTCCTTATTCAAAGATTGGTTGTAGATGTGTGGATAAATTTCTGGAGTTTCTGTTCAGTTGGCTTGGTCTACATGTCTGTTTTTGGACCAGTACCATGCTGTTTTGATTATAACTGCCCTGCAGTATGTCTTGAAATCTGGTATTGTGATGCCTCTGACTTTGTTTTTGTTGTTTAAGATTGCTTTAGTTATTCAGGGTGTCTTGTGTTTCCATATGAATTTTTTTTTATTTAACAGGTAAAGTTGTAGACAGAGAGAGAGAGAGAGAGAGAGAAAGGTCTTCCTTCCGTTGGTTCACTCCCCAAACGGCCGCCATGGCTGGCGCTGCGCCAATCCAAAGCCAGAAGCCAGGTGCTTCTTCTTGGTCTCCCATGTGGGTTCAGGGGCCCAAGTTTTTCCAACTCTGCGAAGAATATTGTTGGTAATTTGATATCACATTTAATCTGTAAATTGCTTTTGATAGTATGGACATTTTGATATTCTTCTAATCCATGAATATGGGAGATTTTTCCATTTTTTTGCATCTTATATTTCTTTCTTTAGTATTTTGTAAGTTTCATAGTAAAAATCTTTCACCCCCTTAGTTAAATGTATTCCAGGGTATTTATTTTTTTCTGTAGTATTATGGATGGGGTTGATCTTAGAAGTTCTCTCTCAGGATGGCCCAAGTCCTTGGCCCTGCACCTGCATGGGAGACTAGGAGAAGCACTTGGCTCCTGGCTTCGGATCAGCGCAGTGCGCCGGCTGTAGTGTGCCGGCTGCAGTGGCCATTGGGGGGTGAACCTTCGGAAAAAGGAAGACCTTTCTCTCTGTCTCTCTCTCACTGTCCACTCTGCCTGTCAAAAAAAAAAAAAAAAAAAAAACTATTTCTCAGCCATGGCAATCTAAATGTATACAAAGGCTACTGATTTTTTAAAAAGTTTACATTGAAGTTTATTTTTTTTAAAGATTTTTACTTATTTATTTGAGAGGTAGAGTTACAGAGAGAAGAAGAGACAGAGAGAAAGGTCTTATCTAAAGCCACGATTTAGGAGCTTGTTTTGGGTTTCCTGTGTGGTTGCAGGGGCCCAAGCACTTGGGCGATCTTCTGCTTTCCCAGGCTGTAGCAGACAGCTGGATTGGGAGAGGAGCAGCCTGGACACGAACCTGCACCCGTATGGGATGCCAGTACCACAGGTGGAAGCTTAACCCACACACCACGGTACCAGCCCCACATCTTAGAATCTTTTCTTTATGGTTTTTTTTATTTATTTATTTATTTATTTATTTATTTTATTTTTTATTTTTTGACAGGCAGAGTGGACAGTGAGAGAGAGAGACAGAGAGAAAGGTCTTCCTTTGCCGTTGGTTCGCCCTCCAATGGCCGCTGCGGCCGGCGCGCTGCGGCCGGCGCACCACGCTGATCCGATGGCAGGAGCCAGGAGCCAGGTGCTTTTCCTGGTCTCCCATGGGGTGCAGGGCCCAAGCACTTGGGCCATCCTCCACTGCACTCCCTGGCCACAGCAGAGAGCTGGCCTGGAAGAGGGGCAACCGGGACGGAATCCGGCGCCCCGACCAGGACTAGAACCCCATGTGCCGGCGCTGCAAGGCGGAGGATTAGCCTAGTGAGCCGCAGCGCTGGCCTTTTCTTTATGTTTTACTGTTGAAAGTTTGACTACAGTGTGTTGTGGTGAAGGTCTTTTCTGGTCATGTCTGTTAGGAGTTCTGAGTGCCTTGGACGTCCCTTTCTTTCTTCATGTTAGGGAAACTTTGTGTAATTAATTCACTGATTAGGTCTTCTAATCTATGCTTTCTTTCCACTTTTCAGGAACTCTAAGACCCATATGTTGGGTTGTTTGATAGAATCCCATGAATCTCCAGTGCTGTTTTTAGTTCTTCTAATTTCTTTTTCTTCTTATTTTTTTTTTTTTTGGTCTGAGAAATTTCCAAAGAATTGTCTTCTAACTTGGATGTTCTTTGTTCCGCACCACCAAGTTTGTTGTTAAGGCCTTCCACTGTATTTTTTATTTGACATATTGAATTCTTCATCTCTAAAATTTTGGTTTGATTTCTCTTCAAAATCTCAATCTAATTGGAGAATTTTTCTATTGTCCTGTGTGGATGAATTTGCTTCTCATTGCTTCTGGGTAATTCTATGATCATTCTTTTGAATTCTTTTTCAGGCATTTCATCAATCTCTTCATCTTCACATTCTTTTTTTGAAAGGCAAGTGCTTTATTTGAAAGGCAGCAGTACAGGGAGGCAGAGAGAGAGAGAGATCGAGATCCATCTTCCATCTGCTGATTCACTCCCCAAATGGCCGCAACAGCAGGAGTCATGCCAGTGTGAAGCCAGGAGCTTCTTCCTGGTCTCCCATGCAGGTGCAGGGGCCCAAGCACTTGAGCCATCTTTACTGCTTTCCCAGGCCACAGCAGAGAGCTGGAGTGGAGGTGGAGCAGCCAGGACTCGAACCGGTGCCCATAAGGGATGCCAGCACTGCAGGTGGCAGCCTTACCCGCTATGCCACAGTGCCAGCCTCCATCTTCACAATAATCTAATATTGAAGTTTTGTTGTGTTCCTTTGGGGGTGCCATGTTGTCTTCCTTATTGTTATTTTTGCAGTTGTTTTTAGGCATTTGTGAGAATACTTGTTGGTTTTCTCTTACGGATTTTATCCTTGAACTGTTCTCTGTGGCTTAGTGGAGTACCTGTTCTTTCAGTGAATACCCAGAGGTGTGTGCTGGGCGTGACCGTGGAGCTCTGTTCAGTGCTCCAGGGCGGGGTGAGAATCCAAAGTGACACCCAGGTTTGGAGTGGTAGATCTTCTCTGTTGTCAGTAGGGAAGGGGCTATGCTCACCTCTGTTGTCATAACCACACGCTCACCTCCTCTCTTCCAGTTAGCCCACAGTGGGCACAGCACTCACCAGCACTGCCACATGAACCTCACAAAGGATCTGTGCAGCTCTCCTGTGAGCACAGATCCTGCTGTCGTGGCCAACCCCGGCAGTCAGCGAGCTCTGAGCCTTTGGTGCCACACACAGTGACTGCCCAGCTACTCTTTGCCCTTTCATGCAGTCAGAGTTCCTACCATCTCAGCACACAGGGCTCCCACAGTCATGGGGTTCAGAGATCCACCCTGTCCCGATAGCCTGCCCTGTCCATGGAGAGGCAGAGACGTTCCCAGAGCCAGCTGCTGGTGGGTGCCACACCTTGGTGATTTGAGCCCAGAGCCTGTGATATGTTGCAAGGTGGATGCATCTCACATTCCTACATGGGTGCCCATGCCCTGTCAATCCTCCCCGCCAGACTCAGTCGGTGGGGAACGTGGATTTTTCCCCATGGTAAAATCCCTGGTCACATGTGTGTACAAGAGTCCCTGCAGCCACTGCTGATTCCTAAATGGCACCTTCTCCCCACCTTGTGCCGGGTGCTCACCTGAGCTGCCCCAGCTGCTGCTCTTGTCAAGATGGCGTGCACACAAGAGCTGGCGCAGCTGCTGCTGCTGTCAGAATAGTGCTCTCTCCCAGCCAGCTGCCAGGCACTGGTGTAGGCTGGGGGGAGGAAGGGTCCCTTTTTTTCACTGGGTTAGGCCTGTACCCCCTCCCCCTTAGGGCTCCAGGCCAGACTCAAAGTGTATTCCCCCAGGCTCTGCCTCTGGCCGGCCGTCAGCAGTGGCAGAGGAGGTGCTGCAGTGTGGTCCACCTCGCTCTGGAGCTGGCGCTCCCTCCAGCTCTTGGCTGCAGTGGTCGTGGGCTGTGTCCACACCCTGTGCTGTGCATCTGCCCCTTTCAGGTCGCTCCGCGGCTCCCCTGTTCTGTAGCATTTCCACTGCAGCTATCTCTGCTGCTCTCCCCTGGGGTGCACTTGGGCCACGTTTTGCTGCTGTCTTCCCTTCGCCCCGAGCAGGGAGCCCTTGCCCTGTGCTGCCGTCTTGGAATATCCAGCAGATACATTTGACTCCATGTTGTTAGGCTGTGATTTTGCCGTTGTGGTCAGTAAAGTGAGGCGAAAGTAGAGAAAACTTTTGTTTAATTTGTTTATTTGAAAGGTGGGAGTAGGAGGAGAAAGGTATCTCCCACATACTGGCTCACACTACAGAAGCTGCAACAGCTAGGACTAGGCCAGGCCAAAGCCAGAGCTGGGAAGTCAGTCTTGAGCTGCTGTCCTCCAGGAAACACATTAGCAGGAAGTTGGAATTGGGAACGGAACTGGCCCTGGAGCCTTGGTACTCTGAAATTGGAAGTGGGTGTCCTGTGTGGCATCTTAACTGCGCCCGATACCCGCCCTGAAGGAATCTTTAAGATACTCCAGTGTTCTCTGGAACACCGTTGGGTTAAATTATCACTTGATGGTTTTATCTTTTGTCTTGTGTGTATTTATTTGTTAGGTTCTTGAATTAAAAAGCCAAAGGAAAACCGATGACGCCGAGATCAGCATTAAGATTCAGTTGACAAAGATCCTGGAGCCCTGCTCAGATCTGTGCATTCCTTTCTACAATGTTGTTTTCCGCCGGTGAGAAAATAGCTCGGTCTTACTCTCCTTTCATTTCACTCTTGGATTTGCAGTGACCTTCACGAAGCTTGCATGCAGTCCGGTGTGTAATTAGATGGGTTTGGAAACTTCTAATAAACAAGTGGGTGTCATTGGTGCTAACTTAGCTCAAAAATTATCTTACAAGTGATAGGCAGAGTCAGGTATGTGAAATCAGATGTGGAGATGGCTGATTAAGAGAATGGGGTTCCCTTGGATTCGTCCAGGAACTTTGAAAGCAATGTTTGTAGTGCATTTCTGATGGTGCAGTTAGCAAGGGGCTGCTTGGAGGTGGTGTGCAGAAGTATTTCCTGGAAGAGTTTTTCCAGTCCCGTCCATTTTTTGAATACAGATGGCTCATAATTCTTTAACTTATTTGAGAGTCTGGAATTTTCCTGTACCTGTCATTCCCTAACTGCCTCTTATTTAATGAACTAGAATCAGATCTCTCTGTAGTAAACAGAACTTCAGGAACAAACAGCTCGCTTTGTCATACTGCCGTTCACAGACTTAGAAGTGGCTCTCCTGTTCTTCTTGGTTAATGGTGGAGCGTGACGGAAGGAAGCCGGGAAACGAGCTCGTTGTTTGGTTGGCTGCTGCGCAGTTGCATGTACTCCAGGGCTAACACTGTGGGCAGTTTGCTTTCTCTCCCAGAGTGTTCTCAGCACAAACGCTGCACTGCCTAGAGAGCACAAGCACTTCTGACCCTTAGGCTTCCAGAGGAAAGTGCAGCAAGGGTATTAGCGCGTGGTTTGTTCTTCTGCTAGACAACCCATTCTTGCTCTTGGTTTCAGGGTCATGAAGCTTCTGGACATGAAGCTTGTAGGGAGGAACTTCTACGACCCCACGAGTGCCATGGTGCTGCAGCAGCACAGGTGGGTGGCGTTTTCTCCCGTTCTCACCTTGGCATGCTGTTGGTGGTAAGGCATCTCTGCAGTGTCTGTGGTAGTGAACAGAGTTACCAGGTAAACCTCATCTTCAGTTTGGCTTTTTTAAGCAAATGTACAGTGGCCTTTCCTAGGCCTCTGTCCCTGTTTTTAGGGAAGGGCAGTGTGGGGTCTGCCCTCTGCTTAGATCCTTGGGGTATAAAGACTGCCTGTCTCTGTTTAGGTTGCAGATCTGGCCAGGCTATGCAGCTAGCATCCGGAGGACGGATGGAGGCCTTTTCCTGCTGGCTGATGTCTCCCACAAGGTTATTCGGAATGACTCCGTGCTGGATGTCATGTGAGTGTCGATGGGATCTACCCTGAGCATGCTGGTAGTTCTCTGAAGGGTCTAGTAGTCGCCGGGGGTGATTCAGATCAGACATTGTTCTGTGTGGTCTTCTAACTGTAGAACGGCTTGAGAGAACGCAATGTCCCTAGGACCTGCTGAGATGGGCATCTGAGTATGTGTCTGCTATGTTCTGAAGAATTTTACTTAAATCTGTGCTTAAGAAGGCTTGGTTTGGGGTGGGTGTTGTGGTACAGCAGGGTAAGAGGCTACTTGGAATGCTCGTATTCCCGTATCAGAGTGCTGGTTAGAGTTGTGGCTCTTCCACTTCTGATCCTGCTTCCTGCCGATGCATTCGGGGAGGCAGCAGCTAATGGCTCAGGTACTTGGGTCCCTGCCACCGCCACCCATGTGGGAGACCCCAATGGAGTTTGGGCTCCTGGTGTCAGCCTGGCCCAGTCCTGGCTGTGGCGGGCATCAGCATTTGGGAAGTGACCTGGCAGGTGGAAGCCCTCTCTCTGTCTCTGTCTCTCTTAGTTTCTCTGCCTTTTAAGTGGATCAAGATAAGTAATGATTTTTTAAAAAAAGACTTGGTGTGATATTCACACACACTCTGAGTTTTTGTTTAATAATGTACAATGTATGTATGTATAACTATAGTAAATATAGATGTGTATAATTTTTTAAAAGATTTATTTATTTACTTGAAAGTCAGAGTTACACACACAGAGAGAAGGAGAGGCAGAGAGAGAGAAAGAGAAATCTTCCATCTGCTGGTTCACTCCCCAGATGGCTGCAACAGCCAGAGTTACGCCGATCCAAAGCCAGGAGCCAGGAGCTTCTTCTGGGTCTCCCATACAGGTGCAGGGGCCCAAGCACTTGGGCCATCCTCCACTGCTTTCCCAGGCCATAGCAGAGAGCTGGATCAGAAGTGGAGCAGTTGGGACTCAAACTGGCACCCATATGGGATGCCGGCTTTGCAGGTGCAGCCTTACCCACTATACCACAGCGCCAGCTCCGATGTGTATAATTTTTAATGCTTGTGTGAAATCTTAAGTGCATGTTCGCTTTTATTGGTTTTAACGACAGTATATTTGGTGAAAAAACTGAACATCTTAGAGGCTTTTAAATACACAGGGAGACTTCAGAAAGTTTGTGGAGGGTGGTGTATGGCACAGCAAAGATTTCCCTTGGGATGCCGGTATCCATTTTGGAGTGCAGTGCAGTTCAAGTCTCAGCGCACGTTCAGCTTTCTGCTGACGCCACCCCTGGTAAGCAGCAAGTGATGACCTAGGTAGTGGGTCCTTCCCATACACGTAGGAGGTCTCAGATTGGCTTCTTGACTTGGCTTTGACCTGGTCCAGCCCAGGCCATGGCTTCCATTTGGGGAATGAATGGGAAGATGGAAGATCTCTCCTTGTCTCTCTCTTCCAAATAAAAATAAATATTGGGAGCTGGTGCTGTGGTGTGGCGGGTAAAGCTACCATCTGCAGGGCCAGCATCCCATATGGGTGCTGATTCAAGTCCTGGCTACTTCACTTCCAATCCAGCTCTCTGCTGTGGGCTGGGAAAGCAGTGGAAGATGGCCCAAGTCCTTGGCTCCTGCAGCCACGTGGGAGACCTGGAAGAAGCTCCTGGCTTCAGATGGCCCAGCTTTGGCCGTTGTGGCCATTTGGAGAGTGAACCAGCAGATAGAAGACCTCTCTTTTTCTCCCTCTGTTACTCTGCCTTTCAAATAAAAAAAAATTAAAAATTTTTAAAACTTTTTGGGAAATGGAATTAAAAAATAAGTTTATTTTGGTGCAAATATTTAAAATCCATGCATATGAGAGGTCTTTAAAAAGTCCATGAGAAATAACTTACTATAAAAAAATAATGGATTTAAAAAATTGTTATGTTATAATAAATTTACCTTTTAATTTCCTTTGCAGTGAACTATCTGGAGGAGTTGCATGTTTATATGATAGTTAAATGTATTATGACAAATTACCCTGTATACGATTTATTCAGTTGATTTTCCCACCAGCTGTATTCAACCAGGCTTTGCTTCCCTGATAAATCCAGAGCAGTTATTTTCTTGAAGTTAAGAAAAGCTTTGTTTCGGGGTTGGCACTGTGGCACAGTGGGCTGAAGCCCCAGCCTGCTGCGCCAGCATCCCATCTGGGCACTGGTTCGAGTCCTGGCTGCTCCACTTCCCATCCAGCTCCTTGCTGTGGTCTGGGAAAGCCGCAGAGGATGCCCCAAGTCCTTGGGCCCCTGCACCCATGTGAGAGATCTGGAGGAAGCTCCTGGCTCTTGGCTTCAGATAGATTCAGTTCTGGCTGTTGTGGCCATTTGGAGAGGGAACCAGCAGATGGAAGACCTCTCTCTCTCTCTGCTTCTGCCTCTCTGTAACTCTGTCCCTCAAATAAATAAATAAATAAATAAATAAGTAGATAAATAAAGCTTTAAAAATGACTGATAGTATGTCCTACAGAGGGAATCTATTGTTGATAAATTTTTTCAGTTTATTTATTTATTTATTTTTAAAGATTTATTTATTACTTGAGAGGTAGTGTTACAGATGGAGAGATGGAGAAAGGTCTTCCATCTGCTGGTTCACTCCCCAAATGGCCAAAACAGCCGGAGCTGGGCTGATCTGAAGCAAGGAGCCAGAAGTTTCTTCCAGGCCTCCCATGTGGTTGCAGGGGCCCAGGTACTTGGACCATCTTCTCCTGCTTTCCTTGGCCATCATCAGGGAGCTGGATTGGAAGTGAAGCAGCCAGGACTCAATATGGGATGCCAGTACCACAGGTTGATGTTTAACCTACTAGGCCACAGCGTCAGCCCCTTCCTTTGGTTTTTATCTAAAACCATCTTTTTATCTTGTGTTTAATATAGCATTTGGGATTTGGCAGTTACTTTCTTTAAGCACTTTGAAAACTTTGTTATCTTCTGGTTTGTATTGTTTCCATTGACAAATCAGCTACCAGTGTTAATTGTTTTCTCTAATTTTCTTAAAAAGTTTATTTTTGGTTTTCAGAAATTTTGCTATTATAATGTATCTAGGTAGAGTTTCTGTTAAAGAATGGTCATGGCACATACTAAAGAAAAGTAAGGCAGACTTTCTTCAGGCACATTACTGTAGATGTCAGAACCATGGTAGGGGGGATGTGTAGTTGGGGAGAGGGATTAGACTTAGCTCCAAATACAGCCCCAAGGAGGAAGTGGTGCTGAGAGCCCAGAGGCAGAGTGGAGCTCAGCGGGTGGAGAGTTATCAGTGGGAAACTTGAGCAGGCAGGGGATTTCTGCTGAACTGACCTGACTGAATTCCTTGTACCTGCAGGCCAGGGTAATCACGTATCCCTGGGAGGGTGGTGGGGAATGAGGACTTGGACCAGATATGGAGAGCCATTCTTGCTAGATCAGTCAGTCGAGAGTTGTTCACAGAAGCCTGGTTGGCAAGGGGATTCAGAAGAGCCTGACTAGACCTGGGTCAAGGAGGGCGTCCTTGTTTCCCAGTACCTAACGTGGCCGCCTCTGTGTGATCCTCTTCCCTAGTGTGGAGGTTGGGACTTCAGTATGGTGTGCCCCTGCCGTGCTGTGTACTTGAGTACTCACCCTGGGGGAAGCCAGGTGCCAAAAACAAAACAAAACAAAAGAAACAAAACTGTGCACCAAGGTTCAAAACAGCATAAAATATTCAAAATAGCCAATATGTGGAGACAACCTGAAATTCTATCAGTTGATGAGTGGGTAAGCAAAAGGTGACAAATCCGTACAGCAGACTGCTGCTCAGTGCACTGAAGCGAGTCTAGAAACATCCTCGGTTGCTCCTGGAGATGCCTGCAGCTGTGTGAGACCAAACCAGGGGCACCCAGCTAAGCCTCCCATGTTCTGTCAGTCTCTTTTTAAAAGACTTATTAATTTATTTTATTTTTTTAAAGATTTATTTTAATTATTTGAAAGTCAGAGTTACACAGAGAGAGGAGAGGCAGAGAGAAAGAGGTCTTCCACCCTACGGTTCACTCCCCAGTTGGCTGCACTGGCCGAAGCTGCACTGATCAGGAGCCAGGAGCTTCTGGGTCTCCCACATGGGTGCAGGGATCCAAGGACTTGGACCATCTTCTACTGCTTTCCCAGGCCATAGCAGAGAGCTGGATCGGAAATGGAGCAGCTGGGACTCGAACTGGCGCCCATATGGGATGCTGGTGCTTCAGGACAGGGTGTTAACCCGCTGCGCCACAGCGCTAGCCCCAAATTTATTTTGAAAGTCAGAGTTAGAGAGGGAGAAGACAGAGAAAGAGAGAGATCTCCCACCTGGTGATGGCTGAACTGGCCAGTGCTGGGCCAGGCCAAAGCCAGGAGCGTCATCCAGGTCTTCCACATGTGTGCCGGGGGCCCAGACACTTGGGCCATCTCTGCTGCTTGTCCCAGGCATTAGCAGGGTGATGGATCAGAAGTGGAGCAGCCAGGATACTAACTGTTGCTTATATGAGATGCTGGCATCACAGGCAGTGGCTTAACCCACTACACCACAGCGCTGGCCCCTCTCCCTCAAGTCCTCAACCCATAGAAACTAAGGTGATGGATCTATTAATATAAATATATATGTAAGGTAATGTGAATATGCCTCATCTTTTTAATAGCTTTATTGAGATATACTTCACATACTGTACAGTCTGCCCATTTAAAGCTCAGTGGTTTTCAGATTCACAGAGTTGTACATCCATCACCATAGTCAATTTTAGAACATTTTTGTTATCTCAAAAAGAAACTTTGCAATTCTTAGCCATCACTTTCCAATTTCTTATCCTGCCCCCTTAGACCTCAGGAACCACTAATTTCATATTCCAAACATTTCAGATAAACCTGACATCATGTTTTCAAAATCCATTTGTGTAGTAATAGGTAAGAATATTTTATTCCTTTTTATCATGGAATACTAGTCTGCTGAATGGATATTACCATATTTTTAAAAAAGATTTATTTGTTTGAAAGAGTTGGAGGGGCTGGTGCTGTGGCACAGTGGGTTAATGCCCTGGCCTAAAGCGCTGGCATCCCATATGGGCACTGGTTCTAGTCCCGGCTGCTCCTCTTCTGATCCAGCTCCTTGCTATGGCCTGGGAAAGCAGAAGAAGATGGCCCAAGTCCTTGCCCCTGCACCCACGTGGGAGACCTGGAAGAAGCTCCGGATCGGCGCAGCTCTGGCCATTGCGGCCAACTGGGGAGTGAACCATCGGATGGAAGACCTATCTATCTGCTTCTCCTCTCTCTGTGTAACTCTTTCAAATAAATAAGTAAATCTTTAAAAAAAAGAGGGAGAGACAGAGACATTTTCCACCTACTCATTCATTCTGCAGACAGCCAGGAGCCAGGAGCTTCATCCAGGTCTCCTGCATAAGTGGCAGGGGCCAAACACTTAGCCCATCTTCCACTGCTTTTCCCAGACCATAGTAGGGAGTTGGATTGGAAGTGGAGCAGCCGGGACATGAACCATTGCCCATATGGGATGCCGAGCTGGCAGGCAGCGCCTTCACCTGCTTGCCACAGTGCCGACCCCAGGTATACTGACTTCTGTTTTACCCCAATTCCCATCAAGTTGAATGGAAAATTTGGGGTGGGTTTTCACTATTAATACTCTTTTATTTTTGAAAGGATTTTAATCCATCTGGTCTGTTTGAAAGGCAGTTACAGAGAGGCAGAGGCAGAGAGAGAGAGAGAAAGAGAGAGAGGTCTTCCATCCGCTGCTCCACTTCCCAGATGGCTGCAGTGGCCAGACTGTGCTGATCTGAAGCCGGGAGACAGGAGCTTCGTCTGGGCCTCCCATGAAGGTACAGGAGCCCAAGAACTTGGATCATCTTCTTCTTCCCCAGACCACAGCAGAGAGCCAGAATGGAAGTGGAGCAGCCGAGATTTGAACCAGCACCCATATGGATGCCAACACTGCAGGCGGTGGCCCCACCTGCTATACCACAGCTGGCCCTGTTTTCACCTTTTGACTATGATGATTAATGCTGTTATGAACCTTGGTGTGTGGTATTTTTGGGCTATATGTTTTTAGTTTTCTTGCATAGCTATCTAGGAACAGAAATGCTAGGAACAGATGATAGGGTGTATGTTTAACTTTTTAAGGAGTGGCCAGACCGTTGACCAGTTATTATACCAGGCTACATTCCCACTCAACAGTATATGAGGATTGTAGTTTGTCTGCCTTCTTGTCAACACTTGTTAATTATGCTAGTCATTGTGAGGTGCTTCCTTCTTGTGATTTGGGTTTGGATTTCCCTGGTGACCCTTGATACCATGTATTTTTCATATCCCTGTTGACAATCTGTGTATCTTCTTTGGAGAAATGTCTACTTAGATCCTCTGCCTATTTTTTAATCGGCTTGTGTGTTTATGATTGAGTTGTCAGAGTTCTTTATGCAGTGGAGGATGGCCCAAGTGCGTGGGCCCTGCAGCCGCATGGGAGACCAGGAGAAGCACCTGGCTCCTGGCTTTGGATCGGCGCAGCGCACTGGCCATAGCAGCCATTTAGGGGGTGAACCAACGGAAGGAAGACCTTTCTTTCTGTCTCTCTCTCTAAATCTGCCTGTCAAAAAAAAAGAAATTTCCACACGGTTTTCCACAGTGTGAGTTTTCTAAACTCATTTACATCCCATCAACAATGTATAAGGCAAACACCCAGTTCTATCACAGTGCTAAGTGATTTTTGTAAATCTCATGGAAAATATGTATTAGGAAAAACTCTGCATGGATTTGAAGAAGTCTGTACCAGGATAAACGTCAGTTTTTACTCCATTTTCCCACTGACTTTCCCGACTGCAGTTGCAAGATTACCCCTTCCTACCTTCCTCTGCCTGGGCTGTTGCTCACTCCCCAGCCCCAGCCGGTCTGCTGGGCAGGTTCCTCCTCCAGCCATCAGCTGCCTCTGACACTCCTTGGCTCCCTGCGTGTCTTTCCGTGTGGTTTCTGTGAGTTCCTCCGTTGCCTGTTCATGGCACTCTCCGCAAGGTGTCTGTGTGGGCTATCTCGTTCTTCATCTTTAGCATCTTACCAAGTGTGTTCTGATAGGTACAGGTTTGGTGCTTTCCTCCAGCAAATACAGTTAAAAAGAATACTGTCACTGTGCCTCCTGTAGCTGTATCCTAGTAATGATGAAAACCAGTGCTTGTTTTAATAAAAGTACCTTAAAGAAGACAGAGAATATTTTAATATGTGGTTGCTGCTCTTAATGATTTATTTCACTATTTTTGTTGACAGTTTTATGTTTAAAAAATAAAAGCATCAAGAAATCAAGAAGTCTATCAGAAAACACAGTTGGAGCTTTGTGGTGCCACAGGCTCACTGTGATTAGACCCCTAAATTATTATTTTTTAAGTTTCCATCCCGGTATTATTTCTTTGTGTAAACAAACATAACCCACAGGGCTTTCTTCCTTTTCAAAGGCATGCCATGTATCAGCAGAACAAGGAAAACTTCCAGGATGAGTGTAGTAAGCTGCTGGTGGGCAATATTGTTATCACCCGATACAACAATCGTACCTATCGCATTGATGATGTGGATTGGAATAAGACTCCCAAAGACAGCTTCACGATGTCTGACGGCAAGGAGATCACGTTCTTGGAGTACTACAGGTAGGAGAAGGGCGGGGGAGTCGGGCCCCATCCTTCAGCAGGGTGTTTGAGCTCTGTGACAGCACTCAGCCTGACACTTCCACAGCACTTGAATTAGTGATGTTGGATGTGTTCATTGGTGGGAATTGACCTGAATATATTACCCTTACAATTTTCTTTTAGTGCCTTTGAAAGTTACTGCATATAAATTGGTCTCAGGGTTTTGAATTGTCTTGTGCTGACTCTGTTAGGTGTCCGTTTGGAGAGACAAAATTCAAGTTATGTGTCTCATTTTACTTCTCCATTCCCTACACCCTGTAATTTAGCCTTATTGCTCTTCTGCTTAATTGGTGGTGTAATATGAGTCTGCTTTTCCCACTTACAAATATATTATGACCTTTCCCATGGATCCTGGACAGGGCTGTTATGTGGATGTGTACCTCAGTCCTGTTAAGAGACTTGGACTGTGTTGCTATGGTATGTCGCTTTTGAAATGTTTTCTTGCCTCCACCTTGCTTTAGCAAAAACTACGGGATCACGGTGAAGGAAGAGGACCAGCCACTGCTGATTCACAGGCCCAGTGAGAGACAGAATAACCATGGCATGGTGAGTGGGGTCAGCTTGCACTTCCCACCCCGGTCTTCATCTGTCCATCAGCTCTGTGAGAGCTGGAGAGCAGTGACTGCAGCACAGTTGGGGAAGGCTGTTCGTGGCTGTGCCATTCATTTGTCTCTCAGGTCCCTACAGGAGGAGCTCACTAGCCACCTGAGAGTTTGGATAGAAGGAACGGATAGCTTCCTGTGATTCAGGATTAAAGCTTTGGGTTCATTCGGGCGGGAGTATAGACATTTCTTTTGACAGGTACAGGCTGGGGGAAGTCTCTTGTCTCCTGTCTCCCCTGTGCTGAGCTACTAAGACTAAAGGAAGAGCGGAGTAAGATGAGGTAGAGACACACAACCTCATCAGCTGTATTCCTACCATTGTCTGGAGGTCTAAGAGAGACAATTTTTTTTCTAGTTTTCATTTCCTTTGGACAATTTCAATATATGCCCCTTTCCACAATTTGGCAGGCTATATGTATTCTCACTGAGCACAGGAAAATGCTTCTCGAATCCCCTGCCCTCATTTCCAGGGTTTTAGATTCCTCAGTGTACAAGTCGGGTCACTGAGGGCCAGCCCTGGGCTGTGGCACATCTCATATGGGTCAAGGAACCACGCATCCTCTCTCTACTCCTTTACTTTGCCCTCTCTTCTTTCCCCAAAGCTGCTGAAAGGTGAAATCCTGCTGCTGCCTGAGCTTTCCTTCATGACTGGAATCCCAGAGAAGATGAAGAAGGACTTCAGAGCCATGAAGGTTGGAGTCTGCTGTTCTCGGCAGGGAGCCCCTGCTCTGAGCAGCGGCGTTTTGGATGGCAGTTTGAGTTAGAGCCAGGCCAGTTCCGGCTGTGACACTGGCTTGAACTGTTACCTGGACACATCTGTTCTTCAGCTCCTACCCTTCCTCTCTGTGAAACGTCTTACCTGTCTCTTTCTACGCCAGTGTGTAAAGGCACATCGCAGCTCCCTTTGAGGGACTGAATTGTAAGGCAAGAGGAAACCAACAACTCTGTCTTCATCCTCACTGAGTAGATGGCTGATTGTAGACTGGTCATGGGACCATAGATGAGGTTCTTTGAGAGAGGGGCATTACTCTAACATTTCTCTAAACCTTCGGTTTATTTGAAGGTGTGGAAGAGATAATGGGGCACACCACCAATGAGTCAGGGGCCATGGATGGGGTGCTGAGGCTCTGGGGACGCTGCGTCAGCTCCCGTAGGACAGAGCCGAGAGCAGAGATGGGGAGGGGTGGTGGGCAGCGTGCAGCAGGTGGTGTGGGTGCTGGACCTCCACAAATGCTGTCTTCCTGTTCTGGAAGAGCCGCGCTCTGCTGCCTCGCTTTCCAGCCCTTGTCCGTCCTGGACCCTTATGCCACATAGATAGGATTTTTAACATCATAATGAGCCTGAAGTATGGCTCAAAGTTCGTGGAGGAGATTTCAGTCATGTTTGCTTTGCAGTCCTTCTGCTTTGACTGTGTGGGTCAAGTCCCCTTCCTTATGACTCCCAGTTGCCTAATAATTTTATGGTCACAGTGCTCTGTTTGTAACCTCGTGGACTTACTGAACCGTGGCCATACAGTTCATGGGTCCTAAAACAACAAAGAACTCACCATGTGATTCCAACTCTTCATGTACCTGTTAGATACTTCTCAGTTACACATGGAGCAGGCACCTGCTATACATCAAACACTGGCAAATCATGGTGGCACCGAATGGCTAGCATAGCATGACATAAAGCCTAAGAGTGAAGATAGTTGGGGCCAGTGCTATGGTTTAGTGGGTAAAGCTGCCGCCTGCAACACCGGCATCCCATATGGACTACTCCCATAGTCCTGGATACTCCTCTTCTGATCCAGCTCCCTACTGATGTGCCTGAGAATGCAGCAGAGGATAGCCCCAGTCCTAGTACCCCTGCACCCATATGGGAGACTGGAAGAAGCTCCTGGCTCCTCCCTTTGACCTGGCCAATGGAGAAGTAAACCAGTGGGTAGAAGCTTACTTTCACTCTCTTTCTTTGCCTCTACCTCTCCTTCTCTGTAACTTTTTTTTAAAAGATTTATTTACTTATTTGAAAGTCAGTGTTACACAGAGAGAAAGAGAGGCAGAGAGAGAGGTCTTACATCCACTGGTTCACTCTCCAATTGGCCTCAGTGGCCAAAGCTGCACTAATCTGAAGCCAGGAGCCAGGAGCTTCTCGGGGTCTCCCAAGTGGGTGCAGGGGCCCAAGGGCTTGGGCCATCTTCTACTACATTCCCAGGCCATAGCAGAGAGCTGGATCAAAAGTGGAACAGCTGGGACTCGAACCGGCACCCATATGGGATGCTGGCCCTGCAGGCAGCAGTTTTACCCTAGCTACACCACAGCACCAGCCTCTGTAACTCTTTCAGATAAATAAATAAATCTTTTTTAAAAAAGTGAAGATACTTTTCTGTTATGTAAAGCTGGATGACTGGCCTGTGATATTTCTCCTCGCAAATTTTAAACAGGTCTCTTTAATTTTAAATCAAGTCTCTTTTGCTCCTGTCTCATGGAATATCTTGGAATTTCAAATTCACTTTGAGAAAGATAGAAAGTTCAGATGTCACAAGGAAGCATCAATAATATTTAAAATTCTTTTATTAGTAAATTTTAACTTTTTACCTCATTTGTATTCCTGAGATATTTTCCTTGGCGATATTTAAAAGTTTCTGATGGTTTCAGTGGGAAGGAGATTCTTCTGGAAACAATTTTTTTTTTTTTTATTGGAGAGACAAAGCTTCTGTCATGTGGTTTAATCCACAAATGCTCACCACAGCCCGGGCTGGACCAGGACTGGAGCCAGGAGCCAGGATCCCAATCTAGGTCTCCCACTTGGGTGACAGGAATCCAGTTCCTGGAGCCATCACTGCTGTCTCCCAGTGTGGGAAGCTGGGTCAGGAGCCAGTCCTGGGAATGGAAACCTGGCATTGAGATGTAGGACAGAACAGTCTAGACTGCAAGCCTGAGTGCTGCTTCCTGATAGCATCATAGTGACATTGGGGTTTGTTACCCTCAACTGGAGAAGTGAATACTTAAAACTTACTCTCCCCATTTGGATTCTGTTTAGGATTTGACCCAGCAGATCAACCTGAGCCCAAAGCAGCACCACAATGCATTAGAATGCTTGCTACAGAGAATTTCGAAGAATGAGACAGCCAACAGTGAGCTGACACGCTGGGGCCTCTGTCTTCAAAAGGATGTGCATAAGGTAAACCAGGCGATGGGTGGGGTAGCAGACAGTGTACCCAAAGGTTCAGAGCTTCGTGACACTGGATAATGACTTCCTGATGTACTCTGACTTTCGAAGCTTTGCTTTGTTCTTACATTCTAGTTTTGTTTTTTTGTTTCTCGATTCCAGTCATGGTTCTTAAATTGTCTTGACTTAATTTGCTAGTATCATTTCCCAAGAGAAGGAGGTACTCATTTCTGGCTAAATAGCAAAAGGAATTTTGACTAACATTTGCTTATTTTCAGGGTCCCAACCCTAATTATATCTTTTTTAAAAAAGATTTTTTTATTTATTTAAGAGATAGAGAGGAAGAGAGAGAAAGAGGCCTTCCATCTGCTGGTTCACTCCCCAACTGGCCTCAATGGCCGGAGCTGAACCCATCTGAAGCCAGGAGCCAGGAGCTTCTTCTGGGTCCCCAACCCGGGTGCAGGGGTCCAAGAACTTGGGCCATCTTCCCCTGCTTTCCCAACCCGTAGAAGAGAGTTGGATCAAAAGAGGAGCATCTGGGACACGAACTGGTGCCCATTTGGGATGCTGGTACTGCAGGTGGAGGCTTAGCCTACTAAGCCACAGGCACTGGTCCCTATACCTATTTTTTTTTTTTTTAGAGAGAGATTTCTTTGGAAGGCAGCATTAGAGAGAGGTAATATCTTCCATCACTGATTGATTCCCCCAAATGGCCTCAATGGCCAGGGTTGGTCCAGGCCAAATCCAGGAGCCTGGCATTCCATACAGGTCTCTTATGTGGGTGGTAGGGACCCAGGCACTTGGGCCACCCTCTGCTGCTTTCCCAAGTGCATTAGCAGGGAGCTGGCTTGGAAGTGGAGCAACCAGGACTTAAACCAGCTCTCATGTGGAATGTCGGTGCCGCAGGTGGAGGCTTATCCTGAAGGGCTACAATGCTGCTGGGCTCCCCAATTATTCTTTTATTTTATTTTTATTTTTATTTTTTTGACAGGCAGAGTTGAAAGTGAGAGACAGAAAGAAAGGTCTTCCTTTTGCCGTTGGTTCACCCTCCAATGGCTGCTGTGGCCTGCGCGCTGCGGCCGGCACACCGCACTGATCCAATGGCAGGAGCCAGGTGCTTATCCTGGTCTCCCATGGGGTGCAGGGCCCAAGCACTTGGGCCATCCTCCACTGCCTTCCCTGGCCACAGCAGAGGGCTGGCCTGGAAGAGGGGCAACCAGGACAGAATCCGGCGCCCCGACCGGGACTAGAACCTGGTGTGCCGGCGCCGCTAGGTGGAGGATTAGCCTATTGAGCCGCGGCGCCGGCCCCCAATTATTCTTAAGGTGCTATATGTCTTTCCTTTTTCTTTTCAAGTTTCCCCCCCAAATAATTACCCTGTGTTTCCTTGACTAAACTACTGTTGTTCTTTCCATAAGAATTTTGCATTTGTAAGATGTGATCATCTAGGGGCACTTTCTTCCTGAGGCTTGCCTGAGTGGGCTGTTGACTTGTGCTGATGTATTCCATAGGGCAGACAGCGGGGTTGGTGGAGAGGTATTGGGACTTCAAATTTTAATTCTACCATTTGCCACTTTGATTATAAGGATGTTTCATAAGGTTTATGGGAAAATGGAATTAAAAGATGAGTTTACTTGGGTGCAACAGTGTTTTGAAATCCACGTATAGGTTTTCTTAATGTGTATTTTCAGTGATTCCCATATGTTTAGACTTCAAAATAAACAAATAAGCTTATCTTTTTGAAGAGGATTAATGTATTTAGAGTGGGTAGTAGAGAGTGTTCCTGCCTGCTGGTTCACTCTCCAGAATCTTGGCTTGGCTGCTGGCCCCAAGCCAGGAACTGGGAATGCAACCCGAGTCTCCCAGGCGGGCAGTGGGAACCCGATTACTTGAGCCATCCCCACTGCCTCCAGGGTCTGCATTGGTAGGAAGCCAGAGTCAGGAGCCTGAGCGTAGAATTGAACCCAGAGAACTGCACTGTGGGATGTGGGTGTCTCAACTCCAGGCTGAACGCCTGTCCTTGAACTCACCTTTAATTTCACTTTCTATGAACTTTTCAGAGAACCCTCACTCTGAGCAAGTTATGTAGCACCTCTGCATTTCCATGTCTGTAAAGTAAGGGGGGGTTCCAAGATGGCGGAAAGGGAGGGAGCTTACTGCTCTAGTCTACGAGAAGGTGGTGCAGAGTGTAATCTTGGGGAAGGGTTAGCAGGAAAACTGCAGTGGAAACTCCATGGAAGTTAGAGAGATGCTGTGGGTCTGCGTGGAGGGTGCAGACGCGTAGCACGAGCACAGACACCACTGGCCCCAGCAGCCGAGAGCCCCAGCACCAGCTTCGGAGATGAGGTGAGTGCTGGCCTGCAGCAGCGGCCCAAGCCACTGGTGATAAAGCTGCGGGAAGAGCCTGGCATGAGTCCAGCCTGGACCCTGTGGGGGACAGTGTACCTGCCAACCTAGAGGGAGAAAAGGGGCACGTCTATCTCACCGCCCCCTTGGCAGCAGCGACCTGCAACTAGCAGAGATAGGGTGGGCGCCATCTTGGACACATGTAACAGCTGTGCAAGCTTCAGTCCGTGCGCCCAGCAACCAGCTGAGAGGAGACACCTGAGTCTGGCTGGGAGGATTGACAAGTCTGAGTGCTCACAGAGGACTGTGAGGTGCCCCCAGGCTCCCAGCACGTCACAGGCTCTGGTACTTAGGCTACCTGGACCGAGTACCCACAAGCGGCTGCATCTGGAAGAGTCTCTGCCTCTGTTTAACAGGCGGGGCTCCCTGATTGCCCGGAGTGGGTCAGTGCAATGGGATCTATGCTCATACTGAGGACTGCACAGATCCTTTGGGTGGTCCTTGTTGGAGTGCGTATGAATATCACACCCACTGAGGCTAGCATCCGGGCATTGGTCACCTTGGAGGCGGGGAGGTGATGATTAGACTGTACCAGTACAGCTGATCAAAACCTCCCCTCTGATGAAAACAGAGCTCTGCAGCACCCAACTTGAGTTTCACCTTGGACACTCCCCTCACCCTGGAGCACTAACCAGAGCTCCCTGGCCACACCCAGCACATGCCTTTGGGTATGCACAGAGAGAGCAGACACTCCACTAAGCCACAGAGGAATAGACCAAAGGTAAAAGTCATCAGAGTAACAAACAAACAGAAAAACCAAGTATCTCCACAAATCCCTAAAAATAAACCCAGAAATTCAAGAAACAAGAATAAGGACGACAACATGATGCACCCCTAAAGGAACACCACAACACTATAGTAGTGGAATGTGAAGATGAAGAGATTGATGAAATGCGAGAAACAGAATTCAAAAAATTAATCACAGGATTACTTGGAAGTAATGAGAAGCAAGTTCATGAATTTAAGAAATCCTTACATAACATGAATAAAAATTTTCCCATGAAATTGAGATTTTTAAAGAGAAATCAGATTGAAATATTAGAAATGAAGAATTCAGTAGATCAAATAAAAAATGTGGTGGAAAACCCTAACACCAGACTCAGTGAGGCAGAAGAAAGAATATCTGAGTTAGAAGGTGAATCTCTGGAAACTTTACAGTCAGACCAAAAAAAAAAAAAAAAAAAATTAAAAACAGTTTTTGAGACTTATGGAATACTATCAAATGGCCCAATATCTGAATCTTAGAAATTCCGGAATGCATGGAAAGAGAATGGATTAGACGGCCTATTTTAGTGAAATAATTACATAAAACGTCTCCAATTTGGAGAAAGAAGGGGATATCCAAGTACAGGAAGCACATAGAACTCCAGATAGACATGACCAGAAAGGATCTTCCCCCTGACACTTTACAGTCAAGTTCTCCACAGGAAAAACCTAAAGGAAAGATTCTAAAATGTGCATGAGAAAAGCACCAAATTACTTCAGAGGACCTCCAGTCAGACCCACAGCCAGCTTCTCATCAGAAACCCTACAGGCTAGGAGAGAATGATGAGATATATTCTAAGTCTTGAGAGAAAAGGACTATCAGCCCAGAATACTGCACCCTGCAGAGTTCTCATTTATGAATGAAGGTGAAATAAAGACCTTCCATGATAAACGGAAATTGAAAGAAATTGTCCCACCCGCCAAGCCTTACAAAAGATGCTAAGGATGTGCTACACACAAAAATATGGCCATCACTATGAAAGAATGTGAAGGTAGAAAAATCTCCCGGTAAAAGTACAAAGGAAATTCAAAGTAAATAAAAGGAGTAACTATGCAAAAATGTTAGGACCAGTAGTAACTTTGAATGAAAATGGCCTCAACTTTCCATTTAAAAGATACAGACTGGCAGAATGGTTTGAAAAACAAGATCTATTTTTTCTGCCTACAGGAAACACTTCTTAACAACAAAGATATCCACAGACTGAGAGTGAAAGGATGGAAAAAGGGGCTGGCACTGTGGCGTAGCAGGTAAAGTCGTCGCTTGCACATGGACACAGGTTCTAGTCCAGGCAGCTGCACTTCCGATCCAGCTCTCTGCTATGGCCTGGGAAAGCAGTAGAAGATGGCCCAAGTCCTCGGGCCTCTGCACCCACTTGGGAGACCCAGAAGAAGCTCCTGACTCCTGGCTTCAGATCAGCCCAGCTCCAGCCATTGCAGCCATATGGGGAGTGAATCAGCAGATGGAAGATTTCTCTGTGCCTGTCTATGTGCCTCTCTCTGCCTCTATAACTCTACCTTCTGCATAAATACATAAATAAATCTTTGGGTTTTTTTTAAAAAAGGTGGAAAAAGATATTCCATGCTAATGGAAACCAAAAAAAAGGGAACTGATATAACCATCCTAATATCAGACAAAATAGGCTTTAACACAAAAAACTGTTAAAAGAGACAAAGAAGGGCACTATGTAGTGACAGGAAAATGTGATCATAATAAGCAGATATGCACCCAGTTATAGGGCACCTGGCTATTTAAAAGAAATGTTAATGTCTAAAGAGAGACATAGACTCCACACACACAGTAGTAATGGGGAACTTCAGTACCCAATTTGCAGCAATGGACA